TGTGGAGGAACAACCGATGCTAACACAAAGTTTATAGCAATAGTAAGTGAAAGTAGAAACCTGTCACATGGCAGTGTTATTAAGGGGTTTCACCATAACACCATGTCATTAATTTTAATATGGATTTTAATATTTAACATGCATTTGTATTGCTCACCCTATAGTTAGAGCTGCTGTTTACAACTTTTTTTTTTTTTTTTGAGACAGAGTTTCACTCTTGTTGCCCAGGCTGGAGTGCAATAGTGTGATCTTGGCTCACTGCAACCTCCGCCTTCCAGGTTCAAGCAATTCTCCTGCCTCAGCCTCCCAAGTAGCTGGGATTACAGGCACCCACCACCACACCTGGCCAATTTTTGTATTTTTAGTAGAGATGAGGTTTCACCATGTTGGCTAGTCTGGTCTCGAACTCCTGACCTCAGGTGATCCACCTGCCTTGGCCTCCCAGAATGTTGGGATTACAGGCATTAGGCACCATGCCTAGCCTTACAGCTCTTTTGACTGTCACCTCATGATGGTCTATAGACTTTTTATATCATAATCGCTTCAGTTGGGGCTTAGAATCTGTGTTTGCATTTAATATTTCTTTCTTTTTTTTTTGAGATGGAGTTTCACTCTTATTGTCCAGGCTGGAGTGCAATGGCACAATCTTGGCTCACTGCAACCTCTGTCTCCCGGGTTCAAGTGATTTTTCCTGCCTCAGCCTCCCCGAGTACCTGGGATTACAGGCATTCACCACCACGCCTGGCTAATTTTTTGTGTTTTTAGTAGAGACGGGGTTTCACTATGTTGGTCAGGCTGGTCTGGAACTCCTGATCTCATGATCCGCCCACCTTGGCCTCCCAAAGTGCTGGGATTACAGGCATGACTACACCCGGATGCATTTTAATATTTCCAAACACCAATTATATACCAGATGTTGTGCTACACATTGAGGGATACATTGGAACAAAAATCAGATAGGGTCTCTGAACTTAATGGAGTTAATAGTCCTATCAGGAGAGACAGACATTACTCAAAGAATCACATGTGATTAAGTACTATGAAGGAAAGATACGTGGTGCCATCAGACTGTATATTAGGGAGATTTGTCCAATCTAGGATTTACCTGAAGAAGTTACGATTGATCAATGATTTGAAGGTAAAGAACAAATTGTAAGAGCGTTTTAAGCAGAGGAAACCTCATGCATACGGGGCTGCTGGTGGGAAAGAAGATGGTATGTAAAAGAACTAAAAGAAGGTGGCCAGGTATGGTGGCTTATGCCTGTGATCCCAACACTTTGGGAGGCCGAGGGGGGCAGATTGCCTGAGCTGTGGAGTTTGCGACCAGCCTGAGCAACACAGTGAAACCCCATCTCTACTAAAATACAAAAAATTAGCTGGGTGTGGCAGCACCTGCCTGTAGTCCCAGCTGTTCAGGAGGCTGAGGCAGGAGAATTGCTTGAACTCGGGAGGCAGAGGTTGCAGTGAGCCAAGAATCCCACCACTGCACTCCAGCCTGGGTGACAGAGCAAGACTCTGTCTCAAAAAAAAAAAAAAATGNTGAAAGAAGGTATGTGGCTATAGAACGGAGAGCTGGAGGAGTGTGTGTGAGATGAAGCTTGAGGGATAGGTAGAAAGCACCTTATACAGAATTCCTTAATAGGCCGTAATATAATAGAATTCTTCAGGATAAGGGAAGCCATAAAGTGTTTTAAGTGAGAAAAAGTCTGAATAATTTCAGAAAGCACATTGGGTCTATAATATGGATAGAGAACAGCTTGTGGGTGGGTGGGGGAGTGGTTGGAGGGTGAATGTGTGAAGACTATGGGAAGCCTATGACAATAGTTTAGGTGAGGCATGACAGTAGCCTTATTGTGGTTCCTTCGCTCGCTAAAAGGAGCATGCAGAAAAGGAGGGCTATGACTAAGTAAGTTTAAGAAGTGTTGTGTTAGACAACTCTATTGCAGAACTTCTCAGGGCTTTAAAAATGCCCATGTGCATGGTGAAACTCTGTAATGGGATGTGGGATGTTTTGTGGCATGTATGTCTCGCCCCCCTCAGTGTGGGCTCTACAAAGTGGTGTGTGATACCTGTTCATGGAAGTTCACTGGTAGGTAAAGATGCTTTCGGAGTTTTAACATATGAGCTATTGCAAACATGGTTGGGTGCTTCCACATGCCATTTAACAGTAGCTTGGGGATAACATGGTACTTGGAAATAGAAATGGAAAGCTTGTTTTCCTGAGGAAACCTCCCCATTTGTCATCAGGATGGAAAATTACCCTTGAAAGAGCTACACCTCTCTGTTTGATGTTGCTGTTCCTTGGGGCCCATTTCCAGGTCCTTGTTTTTCTGAATGTTTGTGCATGCTTGTGCGATGAGTGGGTGAGTTGGGGACATTCTCAGGTGGAAATGACGGAATACCTACTGATAGTTACTCTGTAGAATCTGAAATCTGGGGACAGTTGAGGGGTGTGGCAGTAATTCCAGGCACTTTCCCTGTTTCTCTTCTGTCCTGAACCATGTTGGCCATTTGACCTCAGGCTTATTGTCTCTTGATTGCAAAATGGCTGTCTTAGCTTTAGGCTTCACAAATACCTTTGAAGACAGGAATAGGTGGTTGGATAGGTTTAGACTTAGCAGCTAAAGGCTGTTTTCTCAACTGGCTCTGTCCCATTTGTTAATCCATAAAGGAAAATATTTCCTGGTAGTTCCCTTTATTCACTTTGGTTGAAATGGGGTTTTGTGGCTACCCTTAGCCACAAGGGCAGCTGGGAAATACTTGATTAGCATGGATGGATTCTGATCTCTCTGGGGGTAGTAACACAGTGTTTTTCTGTTGGTAAAATGTGGGGCTGGGATTGGAAGGTTCTTGGGTGTGTCTGCCTTGGATATCTTATATAAGACTTTATTCAGCACCTGTGTGCTGATGATGCCTTTGTCTGCCTGAGTCTCCTGAACAGATCAGGCCTCATGTCAGTTCCTCTTGGATTCATTCAGGGGCCAACCTTAGCTCTCCGCCCTATTCCTCCGACATTCATCCAGTCTGTCTGTAGGCCCCATGGATTCTTCCTCCTTGCTGAATGACCTTGCATATTACTGACTGTCTAGCCTGCTGTACCTCCCTCTCCCTTTCTCTCTCTTTTCCCTTATCAGCACCTTCTCAGTGCTAATAATCCAGTTTTTTTTTCTCTAATGTTTAACATCTAATTGTTAATACTAGATAATATTAGGTTGTAAATTTTTCTTTTGGCGTATACGTTTATGATTTAACACATGCACCATTCATGTAACCACCACCGTAATTAAATATGTAACAATTCTATCATCAAAAAAACTCCCTTGTGTTATTCCTTTATAGTTAACTCCTCCCCCATTCATAACTCCTGGCTACCACTAATCTATTCACCATCCCTCTTTTTTATCTTTTTTGAGAATGTCATATAAATGGAATCATACGGTGTGTAATCTTTTGAAACTGGCTTCTTTCACTCAAATAAGAATGTCTTTGAGATTCATTCAAGGAGTGTTTATAAATAATTCACTCCTTTTTATTGCTGAGTAGTATTCCATAGTGTGGATATACCACGGTTTTGTTTAGCCATTTACTTGTTGGAGGATATCTGGATTGTTTTCAGTTTTTGCCTTTTATGGATTAAGCTGCTATAAATGTAGTATATAGTCCTTTTCCTTCAGTTTATTTTTATTATGGTAAAATACAATTAACATAATATTCACCATCTTAACCATTTTATATAGTTTAATACTATTAAATACATTCATATTATTATACAGTCATAACTGCATCCATTTCCAGAACTATTTTCATCTTGCAGACCTGAAACTCAGTACCCACTAAACAATAACTTCTCATTGTCCCATTTCTGGCTGGCTGGCTACTGCCATTCTATTTTTTGTCTCTAGGATTTTGCCTTCTTTAAGTACCTTCTACAAGTGGAATCATACAATATTTGTCTTTTGTGACCAGCTTGTATATAGGTTTTTTTTTTTTTAAATGAACATAAGTTTTTATTTCTCTGAGGTAAATGCCCCAAAGTGCATTTGCAGGATTCTATGATAGTTAAATAATCTAGTTTTTTTTTTTAAAACACAAACTTTTCCAAAGTGGAAAAATTTACACCATTTTACATTCTCACTAGCAATGTTATAATTTCAGCCATCTGCAGAGTCTGAATTAAATTTCTGGAGAGGTGTCTGTAGTGATTGTTGGGTTAGGTGTTTACCCTTAGAGTAGATATTGTTGGTTGGTTGATTTGGAAAAGAATGGTTTACAGTAAGTACCACTCTTGTATTCATTCCTGTGGGTTAGGGTGACTGTAGAGGGAATATTGAACTCTCTTTCATAAAAGTAGGACTAGGTAGAAAACTGAGTAGGTGTCCACTGCAGTAGTGATTTCCAAATCTGTGTGTACACCAGAATCATCTGAGGAGCCCCTCATGGTACAGATTCATGGGTTACATATAGATCTACTAAATTGGAATCTGTTTTTAACAAGGGTTCAAGAGAGTTTAAAGTAATTATACCCATATCCGTTGGGCATATTACATTATGATATCTATGTACTTTTGAAAATTTAAAGGTTTCAGAAGCATATGGTGCACTATATAAATGAAAAACTTTCTGTTCTCTTATCTTTTCCTCTTTTTCTTTGGCCCTATGTTTATATTTTTGTCTCTTCTCTGATACTTACTCTATTTTTATTTTCTCTCCTCCATTTAGTTTTCACTGGTGTCTATTTTTTGCAGCTGTCTATGGATAAGTTACTGTTTTCTCTGCTCTTAGTCTGGAAATCTTATAAAGAGATTATAAAGAGAGTTTGATCTCAGGCATCCAGGGTTCATTTTCTTTCTCATACCTGATCTGAATCTCTCTCCCCTTTTAATGGCGAAAGTAGAAAACAAGTCCCTGGGCTTAATGGAGAAAACTTTATGTTTTATATTTAAAGGTTGACATTCTTAAGTAGGCTCACTCTTACGTTTTATTTCCTCCTTTTCTCACAGGGAAGAAGAAGAACGTCTGAGAAATAAAATTCGAGCTGATCATGAGAAGGCCTTGGAAGAGGCAAAAGAAAAATTAAGGAAGTCAAGAGAGGAAATTCGAGCAGAAATTCAGACAGAGAAAAATAAGGTAGTCCAAGAAATGAAGATAAAAGAGAACAAGCCACTGCCACCAGTCCCTATTCCCAACCTTGTAGGAATAAGTGGTGGAGACCCAGAAGATAATGACATAAGAGAGAAAAGGGAAAAAATTAAAGAGGTAATAAGCTGAGTTTTGTGATATGGAGTGTTTATTAATTTGTATTTGACTGAATATAAACAGATCTTAGTCTATGGTGTCATGTTTTGATCTTTTTGTTCTTGCGTCATAGTTGTGGTATAGTTTTCAGGTTGGTCCTTTCATAAGGAGTACAACTCTTTTTTTTTTAAAAAATGTTGATTATAATATAATTATTGGACACTTATAAGCTTTTTATATAACATTTGGATTAGTGCCACTCATTCTTTGTTAAGAGATCTTTTGAAATTCAGCATTTTATAAATAATATATCTGTATATAACTTAACATTGACCTAAGCAGTTTCTTAAATGTTCAGTTAAAAGGGACTCTGCCAGATACTATGCAGATCCCCTCATAAACATGCTTCTAAAGGGTCAGCATTGTATCTCCAATTTTTTAAGGGACATATCATGATACCCCTCAACTATACTGTAGATTAAGAGCACATTTCTTCCAAAGAGTCTCCATGGATTGAAGAATGGGAAAGAACTGATTTCAAAATTCTTTATTTAGCCTCGGAAGTCTTTCAGTTTATTGTTCTATAATTACTTAAAGGTAAAGAGAATACCAGATAGGAAAAATCTAGTGCATATTTGAATTAAACTTTGTTAATTAGAACTCCTGAAAATTCTGGGTGGAGTTTGTGATTATACTATCTGTGAAGAAAAATATTTTTATCAGAGTGTAATTGCACCAGCAGTATTTTAGAAGGTTTAATTGTTACTAAGAGAAATTTAGTTCAAATAGTCAAATATCTATTTGGATATATTCTAGTAATGGGTATGGAAGGTATAGCAGATATTTTAAGCTTAGCCTTACGAATTATTATAAAACCTTGACCTCGATAGAGTAGAAATAGAGCTGTGTTCTGATTTTACCTCACCTCTAGAGTCTTTTTAATATGTAGACTGCTTATAGCACTTCCTTTGGGCAGTGTTGGGAGAGATAGTGATAGATTTTTTTTTTTTCAGATACCTGACTTGCTTTTTTTCAGAGGTCATTACAAGTTACTGAAATACTTTTTTTCAAATAAACATAATAATTCAGATAGATAACCATGTGTGTTTAGGGGACCCCCAGATGATCCTCAGGTTCAGTGATTCACCAGAAGTACTCACGAAACTCAGCACATGGAAATATGTTTTAGTTTGGCGAACTTTTATCCTATTTTACCGAAGTCATTTATTAATTGTTACAGCTTTTTTTTGTAGATTGCTTGTAATTTTTCTTATACATAGTCACGTCTTCTGTGAAGAGTTACTTTTCCTTTTTCCTTCTTGATTTTTATACCTTTTATTTATTTTTTCTTGTTGTACTGCAGTGGCTAGGAGTTCTAGTACATTGTTGAAAATAAGTGGGGAGAATGGACATACCAAGTTTGTTCCCAGCTTTAGGGGTTAAGCATTTAGTCTTTTGCCATTAACTATGATGTGTGAACTGTAGGTTTTTTAAAGATGCTGTTTATTAGGTTGAGAATGTCTCTTTGTATTTGTAGTTTACTGAGAGTTTTATCATGAATGAGTGTTGAATTTTGTCAGATGCTTTGTCTTCATTTTTCCCTAGATGACTATGATTTTTTCCTCATTATTCTGTTAAAATGGTAAATTACATTGGTTTTTGGATGTTAGATTAATCTTATATTCCTGGGTTAAATTAACTCCACTTTTTCATGATATAGTATCCTCCTTAGATGTTGTTAATTTTTATTAAAGAATTTTGCATCTGTGTTCTTGAAATACATTGGTCTTCAGTTTTCTTGTAATACAGCATCTTTGCTTGATTTTGGTGTCTGAGTAATGCTGGCTACATAAAGCAAATTGGGAAATTTTTAATGAATAGTATGCTGTTAAATGAATAGACTTTTGTTACACCACAGTCTACTATTATATAATTCATCTGTTACACAGTTAAATACTCTGCTATTGTATAGCTCAAAAGTCCTTGGGTTGCAACACACTCAGCTCAAACTAAGTGATACAAAAAGTATTTATTGGTTTGATGGCTCTAAATAAGGGCTTCAAATTTGGCCGAATCCAAGTCTGTAGATATTACCGTCAGTATTAGGCATGTGGCTCTGTCTCTTTCCTTTTGCTAGTTTCTCCATGTTGCGAGAGAGCCATTATCAGCTCCAGAATTATATATTACATAGACCATGAGATTGTAGAATAAAAAAGTCCCACTATCTCCTGGTGTCTATAACAGTATGTGTAAAAAGGACTTAATTGTTCCTACTTGAATCACATGTATCCAGTCACTTTGTCTAGGGCAGGGGTTGACAGCTACAGATATGTACCTCCTGAAGAAAAAGGGCTTGTCTATTATACCCATGTTTTTTCCTGTCATATAGATGAGATTAAACATAGTTAGGTGTGTTTTCTTGCTGATACAAATGTTAATTGGATAATATACTAATGTAGATCTAGAAGAATGGGCAAGGATATAGTAGTAGAACCCAAAATTATGTGAAATAAAAGTAACAGTCTGTGAAAAATTTAAATTCATGGCTTATAATTTTTCTCTTTTCAGATGATGAAACATGCCTGGGATAACTATAGGACATATGGGTGGGGACATAATGAACTCAGACCTATTGCAAGGAAAGGACACTCCACTAACATATTTGGTAAGTTTGCATTTTCTAATTACTATTTCCGTTTTCTACCTCCATCTTTTAAAACAAGATGTAACTTTTTAAAGTACTTTTAAAAATCTGAGTATTTCTGTGGAACTACCGTTTGAAGAAACATGTATGAATTTTGCAAGTGTCAGTCACCATTAAGTTCCAGTTGCTTTGGAGTACACATATATGTGGTAGATTTTCTATTTGCATATGGATGCTTTAGTCATTTATCTGAGTATTTTGAAGCTTTTTTCGGCATTTTTTTCCTTTAGTGTCAGGAAAGGTAAGCACCTATTGTCATTTTTTTCTTCAACATAATACTTATTCTGATATTCACGTTACAGAGGAAGAGGGGAAGGATAGGCAATTCTTGTAGTCCTGTGTACATTTTTTTTAAAAAGTGACATACCCAGGGTAATTGGGTGACTGGGTTCAGTGGGTTATGTTGTTCATGCACAGCTCTTAAGGAAAATTTAGCAATGTGTTCTGTGAATGGAGGTTTGGGGAAGAGCTGTGTTCATCTTGAGTTTGTTCGTTCTACCTTCTTTCAGCTCAGTTCACTTATAAAACTTCCCAGTTTAACTTACTCAAGGAGTAATTGGGTGACTGAGTTCAGTGGGTTATGTTGTACATGCACAGCTCTTAAGGAAAAATTAACAATGTGTTCTGTGAATGGAGGTTTGGGGAAGAGCTGTGTTCATCTTGAGTTTGTTCATTGTACCTTCTTTCAGCTCAGTTCACTTATAAAACTTCCCAGTTTAACTTACTCAAGGAGTAAGTACTGATTTAACTAACAATGTTTACTAAACCCAAAGATAAGCCGTGAGAATTGTTAAGCCGCTCTTTGTAGTCTTCACTCCCACCCCCATTTTAAATGCTTCTTAATGTGACTTGATGAGTATCTTTTAAGTAATGATAGATGAAGGCAAGAAAATTTTAATGGGCTAAAAAGAAACAAACTAGTTATATACAATCTGATTTTCTTTATCACCTATAGTAAACAATCACAGTAATTCAAATAACAGCAATTTTCTTTTTGACACTAGAGAAGGATTTTTCCAATACTGTGATTTCCCTTATAATTTGTTCATTGTTGCTTTTTTTGGTCAAAAAAGAAAATGTCTTAAAAAATAATTTCTGTTGGGTTTGGGAGATGTGGTAAAGGAGTAAAGGAAAAAAGTTTCCTTTAGTAATCAGTGAGTACCAGAGACTTCATAATATGTTATTTAACTTATCAGCTATCATGTAATGAAATAAAGTGTATTTTCTTAGCAGCATTTCAGACTGGAAAGTTCTTACTGCTTTGTTGTCACAATATGAGGCATTAGTGCACTAAAGACATTATGTTTAGTAGTCATTAGATCCTCCCTTCAAGTAACTATTCCTTTATGTTAAACTCAGTGGTAAATTGTGAGCCTTTAAAAAAAAAATTGGAGTATACAAATGTATTGAAAATAAGAACTGGATTTTAATTTTTTACTTTGTTCAAATGATATTTCTCAGAACATCTTATGTATTAATATTTATCAAATAGATACTGGTCCTGTCTGTTTATCAAATAAATACTGCTGCTTTAGTAAACTTTGAAGGTAGAAGAAAATTAATTTAGATGTTTGGGAAACATTGTGAGAAGAAAATTATAGTGAAATGGTAGAAAAAGTAAAAATCTGCAGAATTTTCAATACTCAAAATTTAGGTGCTTATTATTTTTTATTAAATTTTTAAGTGTTTACAGTTTCTTTTCCAGCCAGATAACCTAAGTAGGAATAAGATCCATAATTATGTTTTGTCTTATGTTTGTAGCTATACAGTTAGTTTGTTAAAGGATTATTTTTTATAGTTTAATACTTTGTTTCCTACTCTGTACCTTTTGTGTATCTCAAATTCTTGCCAGTAAGTACAATTTGAGTTTTTTTAAAAAAACTATTTTTTTATGTTTTCTTTTTTTAAAAAATAAAGTCTAAGAAAACGATAGTAATTAGTTCTCAGTGTCTCATTTGACATCTCAAATTTAGTATGCCTTTACAGAATCAGAATCTTAGAGCCTCTATTACTGTAGTTACATATAAGTGGATATTGAACCTTTGCTTGTAGTAGTCTAGATTTTAGGGAAAACATTAACTTAAAACTTTCCCCATTTTGTTAGCCTTGATAATTAAACAATTCTTTTTTATAGGTAACTGAGATAGTGGCTCCTCTGACTTCTGTCCAGTTAGTTCTTAGCATCAGAGTCCTCTTTATGTGCAGATAACAGAAAATCTATTGGAAAATGGCTTAAATGAAAAAGGAAACTTAATCAGCCGAATGAATTCCTGATGTATATCTGATTCTACCTGAGCTTTTTTTTACTTTATCTCTTCTGTTTTCCTGTGTAGTTTATATCATCAAGTTGGTTTCTTAGCAGGATGGCTGCAGCAGTTTGAAGCTTCATGTCTTCATACTACCTCATCTGTAGGAAAGAGAACATTGTAGAGAAGAGAGCTCTTGGTTGTTTTAGAAATAGAATTGAAAGACTCATTATTTCTTTTTGTCCTGATTGGGTTTTGTGCCATTTGTTGAACCAAAATGCTGTACTTAGGAGAATGGGGATATGTTCTTATTTTTCTTAGTGAGGCCTTGGCTCTGGAGCCAGGAGAAGGGAGAGAAAAATGTTGCTGGATGTAAGTTAGCAGTGATACTAATTATTCTAACAGTGATTAATAGTTAGAATGGCTGGGTACAGTGGCACATAGTCCCAACCTCAGGAGTTTGAGACAGGAGGATCGCACGGGGCCAGGAGTCCAAGGCCACAAGACGCCATGATCATGATGCCTGTGAATAGCCACTGTGCCCCAACCTGGGTAACATAGCAAAACCTTTTCTCTAAAAAAAAAAAGCTGAATGAATTCTTTCTATTGAGATATTCTGGAGAATAGAAAGTTTTGTTAGGGATAGGTCTTTTTGCATGTAGAAGAAATTATTTTGATTTGGAAAAAGAGTATTCTTTGACTTTGCAATGCTTTTTGAAGGGTGCTTTTTATTTTCCAGGGGTGTGTGTGAATATATTTATATGTAAATAAAATCCTTTTGTTACTTCTGACTTAACTGTGATTTGATTTGCACATATTTTGAAGATTTTTGCTTTTATATTAATGAGAGATATTGTTCTTTACTTTTCTTATATTCATCTTGTTTTGGTATCAGAGTAATGCTGGACTCATAAAATGATTTGGGAAGTGTTCTCTGCTTTTCAGTTTTCTGGATGAGATTGTTTAGAATTGGTTTTATTTTTTTCTTAAATGTTTACTATATTTTGCTGAAGAAACCACTTGGATCTCGGATATTTTTTTCTTGAAGGTTTTTAAACTACAAACTTAATTTCTCTAACAGTAAGGACCATTCAGTTTATGTACTTCTTCTTGAGTGAGTTTTGGTGATTTGTGGTTTTTGAGGAATTGGTCCGGTTTGATCTAAGTTATTGATTTTATATGCATCAAATTGTTTGGGTATTGCCTTGTCATTTGAATGTCTGTGGCAGCTGTAGTAATACTCCCCTTTCATTTCTGATAATAGTGATTTATGTTTTGTCTCTTTTCTTGTCCTGCTAGAAGTTTATTAATTTTATTGATCTTTTCAAAGAACCAACTTTTAGATTCATTGATCTTTGTAATATTTTCTTCGTGTTTTCATTTATTAATTTCTATTCTTTATTGTTTTCTTCTTTTGCATGATTTGGGTGATTTTGCTCTTGTTTTTCTAATATTTTTAAGTAGAAGCCTAGTTTATTGGCCAGAGATCCTCTTTTCTAATGTATTTATTACTAGAAACTTTCTAACTGCTGCTTTAGCTGCATTCCTGAGGTTTTGATATATTTTCATTTTCATTCAATTCAGTGTTTTAAAATTTTCCTTGAGTAAGTTTAAGTATTTAGAGTTTTAAAAAATCCTGTTGTTGATTTCTCGTTTTAATTCCATTAAGATTAGAGAATGTACTTCACATAATTTTAATTATTTTAAATTGTTTTTGACTTGCTTTCTGACACAGGTTTGTCTTGGTGAATTTTCCATTTGTGCTTAGAAAGAATGATATTTGTATATTCTGCTGTTACTGTGTGGAATGTTCTACTGATGTCAGTTAGATCCCATTGATGAATGGGGTTGTCCAGGCTATCTCTATCTTAGTTGATTTTCTGTCTAGTTCTGTCAGTTACTGAGAGAGGGATGTTGAAGTCTTCAACTCTTATTTTGGACTTCTTTCAGTTCTGTCATTTTTTGCTTCATGTAATTTGAGGTACTCTTGTTAGGTGTTTGTGCATTTAGGATGATGTATTCTTAGGAACACCACTAAAGCCCTACTATCAAAACCAGACAAAGATATTTATAAGAAAAGGAAACTGTAGAGCAGTATCCCTTATGAACATAGACATAAAAATATTTAACCAAATTTTAGTAAATCTTATTCAGTAATACAGTTGTCCCTTGGTATCCGTGGAGGATTAATTTCAGGACCCCAGAGAATATCAAAATCCACAGATGTCCAAGTCCCTTGTATAAAATAATATATAATATTTGCATATAACTTAAGCATATTCTCTCATATATTTAAAATTATCTTTAGATTACTTGGAATACCTAATACAGTAGAAATAGTGGTTATGCTGTATCTTAAAATTTTTATTTTTTTAATTGCTGTATTATTTTAAAATTATTTTTAAAATATTTCATCCACTGTTGGTTGAACCTGTGGATATGGAGCTGGTGAATATTGAAGGCTTATTGTATATTAAATTATGACTAAGTGGAGTTTATCATAGAGATACATGGTAGGTTTTATATTTGGAAATTGGTTAGTGTAGTTTAAGATACCAATATAATAAAAGAGTAAAATCTTAGGATCATCCCCGTAGCTGGAGAAAAAGCATTTAATCACATTTAACATTCATCCATGATAAAAACTGTTAGCACACTAAATTAGAAAGGGGATTTCTTCAGTTTGATAAAGAGAATTTCAAAACAACAACAATAAGCAAAAAATACAAAATACCTCCCACATACTTAATATTGAAAGACTAGATGCTTTCCCCTAAGATTGCAAGTTAGGCAAAGGTGTCCACTCTCTCACTTTTATGTAACATTGTACTGGAGATCCTAGCCAGTGTACTAATGCAGGGAAAGAAAAAAAGGAAAACAAAAGAATAAAGATTAGAAATAAAGAAGTGAAACTGTCTTTACGTTTTTAGTCAATGTAATTGTCCATAGAAAGAATCTTAAGGAATGTGCCAAAAAAGGATAGAAGAATAAATAAACAATTTTAGTAAATGTTACAGGATACAAGCATGCAAAACCAATTATATGTATTGGTATACTTGCAACAAATGGTTATAAATGCAATTTTAAAAATAATGTCATTTGCAGTAGCATCAAAAAATATGAACTATATGTGTATGAATTTGACAAAATATGTACAGAACCTGTGCACTGAAAACTTCATGTTGTTTTTGAGAGAAATTTAAAAGGACTTAATGGAGAGAAATGCCATGTTCATGAATTTGAATACTCAATATTGTTGGGATGTTAATTTTTTCTACTTTTATGTTTAAATCTAGAGCAGTCCAATCAAAATGACATTAGCTTTTCTGTAGAAATTGGCAAGTTGATTCGAAAATCTTATAAAAATAGAAAGCACTTAAAATAGTCAAAGTAATTTTTTTTAAAACAAAGCTGAAGGATTTGCACTACTTGATTTTATAATTTACAGTAAAGCTATAATTTAGGACAGTATGGTTTTACTATAATGATGGGCATAGAGATCTGTGGAAAAGAATAGAAATAGAAGTGCACATACATGGTTAATTGATTTTCAACAAAGATGCTGAGGTAATTCAGTGATGAAAAGGATAGTCTTTCCAACAAATGGTGCTGGATCAGCCATATATTTGTATGGGAAAATAATGAACTTTGTCTCTTCCTTCAACATTGTATGCAAAAATTAACTGGAAATAGATCGTGGAGCTAAATATAAAAGCTAAAAGCCTAAAACTTTCAGTAGAAAATATTTGAGAATATCTTTGTGACTTTGAGGTAAGCAAGGATTTTTCAGAATACAAAAAGCATCAAGTATAAAAGAAAAATATTGGTAAATTGGACTTAATGAAAATTGAAAATTTCTGCTCCCCAAAGACATCAGGAAATTGGAAAGGCAAACAACAGACTTGCAGAAGATATTTGAAATACACACTTAAGGATGTATACAGAATATATAAATACTTCCCCAGCCAAGGAGGTATATGAATAACCAGTAAACACATCAGTGAGCAGGGAAAGTAAAATTCACACCACAAGGCAATATTTCTACTCACCCATTAACATGTCTAAAATTTGAAGATCAACAATACCAAACATTGACAAGGATGCTAGAACAACTGTATCTCTTACAAATTGTATTCGGAGTATAAAACGGTACACTGTAGAAAGCAGTTTGTCAGTTTCTTATAAACTTACTGTATAGCCTAACAGTTCCACTCCTAAATATTCCCTTGGTGCTCACAAATGAGATCAGATATAGTATATGTTTCTTAGTAAATTCAATTTTTTTCCATCAGTGGTATACAGAATTTACAAATTGAATTTTAAGATATTTTCCCCTGTGTTATATAAAAGTTTGTATAGAATAGGATTTATCCTTAAAATTGATAATGAAAAATAATTAATAATGAACTTTGGGAAGATAATGAACTTTGTTTCTTCCTTCAACATTGTATTCAAAAATTAACTGGAAATGGATCACAGAGCTAAATACAAGAGCTAAAAGTATAAAACTTTAAGGTAATATTCATTCTGTGAATCTTCCAGAGTATGGTACTTTGATAGCGGGTAGTTCTTTGAAAACTTCTTTATTTTCTCTGTTTTTTGGCCTGTTTATTTAGATTTTTCTGTTTCTTAAGTCAAGAGTGGTATTTCTTGAGAAAGATCAAATTTATTGTGAATATGTGAATGAAATGGGCCTTTTATAATTAAAAAAACTTCTCTGTGCTTGTTGTTGCATTTTTATTGTTTTCTGTTTTTGTCTTGTCTACCTTTTAAAAACTAGGTAAATGGTAGATTCACTGTAGGGTTCTTCATGGAACCATTTCTTGAATTTGTTATTTCAATAATTTTCTTCATTTCTAATTCATCCATTTCTGCCTTTAGATTTTCTCATTCTTCTGTTATTTTGCCCAATTTTTTTTTCTTCCTTAGAATGTTAAATTCAGTTATTTTCATTTGTTCTTGTTAGCTAGTATAAATATTTTAAGTTTCTCTGTGAGAACTGCTTTAGTTGATTCCCATACTCTCATACTAAATTTTTATGATATTTTATATTTTCTGTCGTGTCATGTTTTGCTGCTTCTTTGACCCAAGAATGGTGTCAGGCTTTTTAATTTTTTTCTGTTGAAATCTTGACTTGTCCAGGGAAACAATCATAATGATGGCCAGTAATTTCAATTTTGCACTTTTCTTCCTTGAGCTCTTTAGCTCATGGCACCTTGTGGAACTAAGCAAGACTGGTACAGAATAGGTGGGTCAGGCCTTTTTCCATTCCATAGTAGTCTATACCTGAGAGAAGTATATACATAGAGGACTAAATAAATAACTAGATAACTGGAGGAGCAGAGAACTACCTACAAAAAATTGAAATAAGGACACAAACAGTAGTCTTGGTTTAAAATAAGTTTAGTAAATGTTTTGGATGAAATGCTAAAATTAAAAGAGATACATGTTCAAGCAGTTATGCAAGAGATAGAGATATATGAGTGATTAAATGGCTTGATAAAGTTATCTTAATAAAAAGCTGAGGAACGGAATAACACATAACTAACTTTCTAGATAATCTCAGTATAAAGGAAACTGAGTAGGGAGAAGACCAAGGAATTTATCAGAGTGTGTTGGAGTACTTGTCAGCTAAGAGAAGACAGATGTATTGATAAGTTGAAGAAATTGTTAGGAACACATGAACAAGAAAATGGCATGTGAATTAAGGACAACCATCATAAGGACAAATTGTGTATGGCTTCAAACCATTGGAAGAAAACAATTTCTGCCCAGTAGAAAGAGGGATGGAAAAAGAAAGAAAAGAATAGTAAATGGAAAATATGAACTAAGTAATGTTAAATGCTGGCTCTTAAAAATCATCAAGAAAACCTGTTGATAAGACAAAGCTGTTAAGTATTACTCCGATAAGAAGATCACTACCTCACTGGAGTCATAGCCTTTCAGAGTTTTGGGGTATAAATTATCATTTGATACTTTCTGTTAAAGAGTTGATGGGTCTTTGAGGAAGTTCCTGGAATGAACAATAATTTTTTTTTTTTTTTTTTTGCAACTTTTATCTTTCTGGACAAGAGCTCCTGGAACAGTAAATTCAGGTTATGGAAGACAATGTAATAGTAAAACCATGTTAATGCAGGCAGCAAGCTGTGTGGATCATTTGCATTTTCAGAGGACAGAAATAATTGCATTTATGGAATTGGGGAGAACCCATCTGCTCCCTGCTCCCTATTTTTTTTTGCTATACTCCTAGATTTTTTACTCTACTAGTAGCAAAACAAACCTAGTTTTGCTGCTATTTTATTTAGGATTTGTACAGTTGTATTCATTAGTAAGATGGGCCTGTTTTCTTCTCTTGTGTTTTCATTATCTAGTTTTGTTATCAGCTAGGCTGGTTTTGAATTAATTCTTCCCTTTCTTCCTCCCTTTCTCTCTTGTTTTTTCCCCTTGGAATTTTTTTTTTTTTTTAAATGATCAGGATTATCGCTTTTTAAAAAGTGGGTACAGTTTATTTTGATTCTCTCTACTCATATTTTGTTTGGTAGTTTCCATTTTCTGTATGATCTACCTGCTTTTTGATTGTTAAGGATTAAGTTTCTTTTCCACTGTGATTAGCCCTGTTATACATTCATTATTTTAAAATATATTTTTATTCTTTCTATGAATTTGGTCCAGACCAGAAGGACATGGTTGTCTTGTTACTCAGCTTGTCATCTTGAACTACTCTCCCCTTTTCTTCAGTTACACTTCTTGTTTTTTCCTTTCTCGGTTAAGTAGATAGATATCTCATATTCTGACTGGGCTGAAAATTAAGAAAAAATATGCCTTTAGTTTTCTTTTTTTGTTGTATTATCAAAGTACTATTTTTATTAAAATATATTAAACTATGTTATTACCTAATATACATGATATCTAATGTAAAAGTGAACAAAATTGGATATTCTTTTTAGTCCTTATATTATTACTTTACTTTTATATATAAAAAATTAAAATACACCGAATATGAAGGGAATCTTTCCCCACACCCTACCCAGGAGAACAGGAGCCTAAAGGGATCTTTTTAATGATAATTTTTTTTTCTTCCAAATATAGGAAGTTCACAAATGGGTGCTACTATAGTAGATGCTTTGGATACCCTTTATATCATGGGACTTCATGCTGAATTTCTAGATGGGCAAAGATGGATTGAAGACAACCTTGATTTCAGTGTGGTGAGTTTACGATTGATAATCTCTTAGATTGATCGTGAAAAAACACAGTGTCTAACTGCTACTGTCTGAACATTTGTGCCTTCCTAAAATTCATATGTTGAAACCTAATCACTAATATGATGGTACTAGAAGATGAGGACTTTGGGAGGTGATTAGGTCATGAGGGTTGAGCTCCCATGAATGGAAATAGCACCCTCATAAAATAGACTCCAGAGAGAGAACTCCTTGCCCCTTCCACTGTGTGAGAGCACTGAGGTCATGAAGGTGTCATCTGTGAGCCAGAAAGTGTGCTTTCAGCGGACACTGAATCTGCTGACTTCTAGATCTTGTACTTTTCCAGTCTCTAGAATTGTGAGAAATACATTTCTATTTTATATAAGCTACCTGGTTTTTGGTATTTTGTTATAGCAGCCTGAACAGCTTAAGATACTAACCATAGTAGTTTTCAGCATTATACTGGGACTTGAAAGAAACCCCAAGTCCTCTTTCTTCTTTTGGGATTATGAATTGTTATTTAATTTTTGCATAAAATGTGCATCCTTTCTCACCATCTTTTCTTTTACTTATCTTTCATTTGAAGCAAGGTGTTAAATGTGTCAGTAGGGGAAAATGCAATGAACTAGAAGCATCAGGCAACCATAACAACTTTGTAAATTGTGTGTGTGTGTGTGTGTGTGTGTGTGTGTGTGTGTGTGTTAAGGTTTAGTGATTAGCACAGTTTTGATGAGTTTTCATAGTTAGGCCTGTACCCATTCTTCTGGCCCTTTAGCATGGTTAACTGGTACTGCTTAGGTTTGACATGGTTGTTAAGTCACACGCCTTCATATAACAGATTGTGCTTTTTGTATCTTGTTTAAGAAAGCCCTACTCCTGGGTCATGAAGATATTTTCTTGTATTTTATTCTGAAGATTTTAAAGTTTTGCTTTTGTATTTAGCCTTTAATTCAAATGGAATTGATTTTTTAATGTAGGGTGAAAACAGGCCACGATTAATTGATCCTAGTACCATTTATTTCCCTGCTATTTTTATATGCCACATTAATCATATATTAGTCATATTATAGTTTATTCTTTAACATTGGCTTTTTTTCTTTATCCTTATGTCAATACTAAACTGTCTTAACTTTAATTTTTTTTATGAGAAGCTTGATGTCTGTATCTGAATTTTGGTATCTGATCGTTTCTCTGTGGAAATTATCTTAGTTCTCAGCTTTTTGTTCTCAAGTTCTGGAAAACTGAGTGGAAATTTTGATGAGGATTGCATTTAATTTACAGATAAATTTGGGGGAGAATTAGCATCTGTGCAATACTCCCATTCATTAACAGACAACTCTATTATGGTTAATAATTCCCTTGTATATCATTGTTATCAGTTGGGGTTCAATCAGGAACCAGGACTATACCACTTATTTTAACTAGAGGATTTAATGTTTAGAATTGTTATCTAAGTAATGGGGAAAGAAAAAGGCAAAAAGAGAGCATTGTGATAGCACGAGAGTAATAACTATCGGAAACAGGGAACAGCTGCCACCTGTGGGGGCTATAAGACCAATGGCAAGAGGTTGAGATGATTAAAATGCAGTAGCTTGGGCTTTGTAGAACTAGTACCCGTGCTGCCCAGGTGTTACTGGCACCTTAAGAAAACCGTGTCATAGCTGGGACTCAGACTCTGAGGAGGAGACACTTAGCGAAATGCTTGATATCTATAAAGGAAACGATGAGGCTAATTTGGGGATTGTATGTGTGTATGTGTGACAGGGGAACAGTACTCTGGAAACAGTTGTCACTGCAGGGTGAACCCTGGCCGGTACTACACTATCAGAAACTAGAAGTAAACAGGAGGGAGTAAGACTCTTCTTCCTCCAGCCTTGTCTTTTTAGCACCTCCTATTAGTGCCTGAAAGGGAGCCAGCTGGTAAATTACATGCATTTGTGTGGTTCCAACTCCCATATACCAAAGTGTAGAGCATAGAAGAATGGATTTGAACCTGAGAGAACTAGTTTAATAATCAGCACAGTCGTTTTCTGTTCCTTTCTTTCAAGCTTTTAATGTCATTATGCTTCAGCTGCTTATTTTGCATATAGTAAGCATTTGGGTTTTGTTGTTTTTATTCAATCTTAGAGTCTTTTTATTTTAACTGTTAAGTTTGATATATTTACATTTATTGTGATAACATATATTTGGAGTTAGGTCTTTCATCTTTGTTTTGCTACTTATACTATGATTGTACTTTTCATTTGCTTTTAGGTTTTTTTCCCTTATTTTAGATTAAATTACATCATCTCTCTTTTTCCCTCGACTAGTTTGACATTTATACCTTCCATTTCTATTGACTTTGGAGTTATCCTTGAAGTTTAAATGTGTATATGATATATATATATATATATATATATAAAAACACATATATATTTTATAAAAATATATTAAAACTGAGTTTTGTCTCTTTTTTGTGTTTGTTCTCTGGTTTCAGGAGCAAAATGTTAAACAATATAATATATATATTTAAACTTTAAGGGTAACTCCAAAGTAGACTCCCACACACACACACTCTCTCTCTCTCTCTCTTTCAAAGTATAGTATATATAAATATATATAAACTTTAAGGGTAACTCTAAGTAGGCCCATATGTATATATATCAGAGCTTAAAATTAATCGATTTCAGGCCAGGCATCACTTTGGGAGGCTGAGGCAGGAGGATTGCTTGAGCCCAGCCTGGGAAACAAAGTCAGAGCTAAACTCTGCAGAAAATAAGTCTCAGCTACTTGGGAGGCTGAGGAGGGACGATTGCTTGAGCCTAGGAGGTTGAGGCTACAGGGAACTGTGATCATGCTACTGCACTGTAGCCTGGGTAACAGAGTAAGACTCTGTCTCCAGAAAAAAAAAAATCAATTGATTTATCCTCCTTCTGAAGAATATAAGGATCTTAGAATGCTTTAACTTAACTCATCTCCCTTTTTGTTTTGTGTGTAATTGTTGTCTAGTTGATCCCAAGTTATATTTTAAACTTCCAAATTGAGTAATAGATAAATAAATGCACACATTTGTCAAATGCTTCCTCTGCAACAGGCACTGTTCTAGATTCTGTGGATATAGTAATCAACAAAACAGAGTTTTATCTCTTTTTGTGTTTGTGTTCTGGTGTAGGGAGCAAAATAATAAACCCATAAATTATATGTAGTGTATCAGATGGTGATGATAAGTGCTGTGGAGAGCAATGAAGAAGAGTAGATAGGATTGGAGTAAGAGGTGGGATATTGCTATTAGTATTGTACATGGGGTGGCCTTGGAAGGACTCTGTTAAAGTGATACTTCTGAGAAGAGACCCAAGGGGAGCCATGTGACTATACGGTTCTGTCTTAATAGATACTAAAATTGAGAAGAGAGGTACAGTTCCCTTGTCTTTTCTGCTTTTGTTATATTATTGCAAAGTGTGTTTTCAGTCTAATTTTAAAAAGGCAATCTATTTTTTCCCTTGTTTTAATATTTTCTTTTTCACTTTGTTCTATAATTCTATTACCATGTGTCTATTTTTTTGTTGTTGTTTTAATTTTTTTGAGACAGCGTCTTGCTCTATTGCCAGGCTGGAGTGCAATGGTGTGATCTTGGCTTACTGCAACCTCTGTCTCCTGGGCTCGAGTGAGTCCCCTGCCTCAGCCTCCCATCTAGCTGGGACTATAGGCATGTGCCACATGCCCAGCTAATATTTTGTATTTTAGTAGAGACAGGGTTTCACCATGTTGGCCAGGATGGTCTTGATCTCTTGACCTCATGATTCGCCCACCTCAACCTCCCAAAGTGCTGGGATTACAGACGTGAGCCAGCGTGCCCAGGCAGGTTATTCTTTAAAGGACTCATAATGTTTGATCAATCTACATGCCTATGTTTTCATCAAGCTTAGTAGATTCTCAATTATTACTTCTTTCAAAAATGTCTGTATCCAATTTCTCCCTTCTGTCCCTCTAGAATTTCTCATACCTTTTGTTTCTGTAGTGAAGGAAGATAATTTTACAAATGAAAATATTTCATTACCATGTGATTATATTGTTAGGTGATGATGTGTTAATTAGGGAAATAATGCAAGGTTAGAGGGGTATTAATATTTTATATTAGATGGTAAGAAAAAATTTCTAATAAGGTGACATTTATTCAGAGACCTGCAGGAAGTGAGTGATTTGTTCAGCTATGTGAAAGGAAGCATCCAGATAAGAGATAATAACTGTAAAGACTGACATAGGGGTTTCAAGTTTGACAATTCTGGGTAGACTGACATAGGGGTTTCAAGTTTGACAATTCTGGGCACAGCAAGCAGGCCCACATAGTCAGATGAATCAAAGGGATAAGTACGAGAGTTGTCAAAGAGGTTGTAGGGGATCTGCACATGTTGGATCTTATTGGTCATTTTACTCTGAGTATAATGTAAAGGCATTGTCGGGGTTTGCACAGAGTAGTGACCTAAACTGATGTAAGAGTTAAAAGGCTCATTTTAACTGTAGTGTGCTGAATAGAGGGTGGGGAGGGGGGTAAGTATGAAAGCAGGGACACTGGTTGGACGGATATTGTTGCAATTCTGGTTTGGGATGGAGGCCCTCCTGCCTTTTTTTCCTTCCTTCTCATATTTAGTGAATGTCTAATACGTTCCCTGTAGTATGTTAGATGTTGGAAATATATGAAGTAATATTAAGCACTTTACTTTCAGGGTGGGATGGAATGACAATCATGTTATCAAAAAAGTATATTGTATTGTAAAAATTCTAAACTGGAGAAAGATGGTAGCAGATGATGTGCCTGCCTATGAATGTTGGAAAGTCTTAAGAATAATACAGTTTTCCTTTTAATTTTTATTAAAATTAACTATGAATGTTTTCATATTAGTTGTATATCTTCTGTAGATTCTTTGATCATGTTCTCTGCCACTTTTACTTTTCTTTCCATGAGTTAGAATATTTCTAGCAATATCAATATCAATATATAAATACAAACATAGAGACTATTTAATGAGGTTATTAATATTGCTATATTTGTGCAGTTTCCATCTGTATGCCATTTAATTTTGTTCATGATTCTTTTTCTTATAGGTAATTTGCATTTTAGAAAAATTTCATGTCATCAGTTTATCAAAACTATTGGTTTTATGCTTAAGTACCTGCTTTCTCAGGAAAATTTATATATTGTCACACTTTCTTCTACTTTTTAATTTTTTTAACATTTATTTCTAAATAATTTAGATTTCATTTTGATATATATGTGAAATGAGTATTTATATTAATTTCTTACCCAGGAGGCAATTTTGTCAACATTATTACTGAATACTCTATCATTCTACCATTTTTTTTGGTGCCTCCTTTAACATTTATTATATATTCTAGGAAAGATACTTAAAATCCAGGAGGAGAGATAGAAATAAAAATTATGCTGTAGTAATTAGAACAGAAGAAAGAAGGACCACTAGTAGAGAGTGCTTACTATAGACTCAAGATCCAGAATTCAAGAAATGACGGTTTTCATGAAGAAGGGCAATAGTTAACATTATTAAGTATGTTGATAATTTCACAGTACTGAATAAGATACATAAAAATGGCTTGTTGGTTTTGGCAATTAGGGAACTGTGGTGATAGCAGTAGAGAAGTTTCAGTAACATTAACATATGAGAGAAGAGATTGCAAGTTTTATGAGAAATGAAGATGCAGTAAGTAGAAAAATATTATCCATAGGGTATTTGTGAAAAACAAATGAAGTATTAATAGTATTTTGAAAACTATAAAGCATTACATATTTGTGAATATTTTCATATGTTTTTGACAGAATTCAGAGGTGTCTGTGTTTGAAGTCAACATTCGGTTTATTGGAGGCCTGCTTGCAGCATATTACCTGTCAGGAGAGGAGGTGAGCAAAATCAAGCAACACATTGTTTGTTTTGGAGAGATGGGTTAGAATTTAATAAAATGAACAATTTCCCTAGAAGCAAATTATTTTTGTAAATTGGTAATAATGAACCAGTCCCGAACTGGATGCCTCAGGTAGAACTATTCCTTGGGAATAATAATTTTTCCATTTTGAGAACCTCAGTAAAACATGAATTTATCACGGATCCTAGCTTTATATACATCATGTCTCCTTTGCAAGAGTGATCCTTCTCCAGGATTTTGCCATTGCAGTTAATTCCATGGTCCAAGTAAAGGGGGAAAGAAACTAATAAGATAAAAATTAAATAATGAGTCAGAAGGAATTAATATGGATCCTCCTAAGACCAAAAACTAATAATTAAAACTTACTGTTTAGAAATTGAATGCAATTTTTGGCGATAAATAATAACAACTCTGAATTCTCTTCTCTGACAATCTTGGCACAGAACACATAGAGACACTTGAGATCTAAGGTGATGAAGAAGTGGGTGTAGGAAAGTCCCTTTTACTATTCAAATCGGTTAAAGTGTGAGATTGAAGAGTGGGAGAAAGAGAAACTAAAGGAAGTGGTTATAAGTCATTTCTTTTTTTTTTTTTTTTTTTTTTTGAGAAACCATTTCACCCATATTTTAAAATTGGTTTGTTGATCTAGACAATTTGTAAGAGATCTTTGCAGATTTAAGAAAATTTATCTTTTGTTATATGTGTTATAAAGATATATTTTTATGTTATCCATATTTTGTTTTGCTTTTCAGTTAACATTAAATCCTTAAAAAATCATTTTAAGGATTTTTTTCCCCCACGGTTATGGCTTCTAGATTTTGGTTCTTAGAAGGCCTTTCCTATGTCTGTGTTATTACAAAACAAAAAATCCAATTTTATTCTGGATTTTTATGACTTTATATACATATATATATTTCATTGATCTTTGTGTGTAAAGAGTGAGCTACTTATATACTACCCTTTTTTAAAAAGAAATATGTTTAAAGATGCTGGTATTTAATATATAATAGATTAATATTTATCTTAATGTGTAATTTTCTTGTCAAATTATATTGCATGATTTGTTTATACCGCTAACCTATATTTCTATAGTCAGAACATTTAAGTTCACATTTAATACAGTAGAAAAAATTGATTCATACTCTGACCAAGAGGTTACCAAACTTCAGTATGTATCAGAATCACATAGGGTGTTCTGTAAAAATGAGGATTCCAAGCCCTACCGAAAGGATTGATTCAGTTGGTTTAGTGTGGAGACTGTTACCCTACGTTATTTGTGCCAAATATTCTTTGTTAAAAGTGATTTTGAAAACATTGGTTCTATATTTCGAGAAACTCTGACCTGGCTTATAGGAGCAAAATCATTGTGAATTAATTGATATTTTCAGTCAGGTTTATTGAGGTATTATTTACGTAGAGTAAAATTCACTCATTTCAGTGTATAGTTTTATGAGTTTTTACAGCGCATAGTCTTGTAATCACCAGCATGATCAAGATACAGATTTTACTATCCCAGAAAATTCCCTTTACCGTTTTATAATTATCCTATCCCATTGCCAGCCCCTGATAACTACTGATCTCTTTTCTGTCTCTACAGTTAAGAATGCTGGCTTCTTTTACTCAGCATAATGCATTTGAGATTTATCCATGTATTAGTAGTTTAATCCTTTTTACTGTATTACATTACTCCATTGTGGATTTTATATCTTTATCAATGGAATTATTTCCAGTTTTGGAGAGTATAAATAAACCTGCTATAACGATTTGCCTAAAGATTTTGGTGGGAAAATAAATTTTTATTTTTCTTGGATAAATACATAGGAATGGGATTACTGGGTCAAACGATAAGTGTATATTTAACTTTGGAAGAACCTGTCAGATTCTTTTCCAAAAATTGCCTCTTATTGTTGTGAGTACTTTGTATTGTGAGTTTCTTTACTATTGTTAGCCATTCTAATAGATATTAGTGGTATCTCAATGTGGTTTTATTTTGCATTCCCTGATGACAAGTGATGTTGAGCATCTTTTCTTCTGCTTATTTGTCATAGGTATTTTTTTGGTGAATTACCTCTTCAAATCCTTTGGCCATTTAAAAATTTTGTTTTTTTTTTTTTTTTTNTTTGAATTACTAAATTTTGATAGTTCTTTACATATTTTGGACATAGATCTTTTATAATCTCTATGTTTGCAAATATTTTCTGTATCTGTGGCTTGTCTTTTCAGTGACTTAACAGTACCTTTTGAAGAATTGATGTTGTTAATCTGAAAGTACAGTTTACTGTTTTTATCTTTTATGGTTCATTCATTCGGTATTTTGTTTAAGAAATGTTTGCCTCTTCCCACATCACAAAGATTTTCTCTTAATTTTTCTTCCAAAAGTATTAAGAGTTTTACTTTATTTTTACTTTTAGGTCTATAATTGATTTGAGTTAAATCCTGTGTACACTGTGAGGTATAAGTTGAAGTCCCATTTTTTTCCATATGGATGTTGAAAAGACTACTTTTTGTTTGGTTGACTTTGTACCTTTGTTGAAAATTAGTTGATTATGTGTTGGTCTACTCTAGAGACTCTGTTCGCTTTATTTATGTGTCTCTTTTTGGCACTACTGTATTGTGTTCATTGTTATGGCTTTATGGAAAGCCTTGAAATCAGGTTGTGTGAGTCCTCCAACTGTGTTCCTTTTCAAAATTGTTGTGGCTGTTTTAGTTACGTTTCCTTTTTGTATAAATTTTAGAATCAGCTTGTTGATTTCTATAAAATAATCTGCTGGGATTTTGATTGGGATTGTAAATTTTGAGTGATTTGACCTCTTAATAGTATTGAGTGTTTCAATCCATGAATATGATTTATTTAATTATTTTTTCTATTGGTGTTTCTAGTTTTTAGTATACGGATCTTGCACGTATTTTGTTAAATTTATACCTATTTCATGTTTTTGGTAGTTCTGTATTTTAAATTTTATTTTCCCATTGTTCATTGCCAGTATATATAAATGCAGTTGATTTTTTAAAAAACTTTTAATGAAGACTTAAATTCTTAGCTGGCTCAGGACATTTTGTTTCTTTTAGGTAACTTCCTCATGCTATCATTAAAAAAAAAATGTACTAAAAGGTACGTAACATAAAATTTACCATTTAAAAAATTTTTAAGCGTGTAGTTCAGTGGCATTAAAAACATTTGCGTCGTTTTGCAATATGCAGTTGATTTTTTTTTACATTTTGTTTTTCCTTTTTTTCTTTCTTAAGCTATCCTCCACACTGTAACAATTGATTTTTATGTTGATTTTTTTACCTTGTGATTTTTCTAACTTCATTAATAATTCTAGTAGCTTTAAAATATACTTTAATAGATTCTTTGGGGTTTATCTTATAAACAATCAAGTTATTAGTAAATAGAGATGAGCTTTATTTTTCTGTATAGAGAATGGTTATTTAGTTTTGTTCTTTTCCTCTCCTTCTCCTGAGGCAGAGAATGGTTTTATTTGTGTGGTTCCTTTCTTTTTTGTGCCTTACTGCATTGCCTAGGACATCTACTACAATGGGGAGAGTAGGCATCCTTGCCTGGTTCCTGATCCTAGGAATTGCAGTCATAGCTTCATTCTCTACCATAATCATGGCATATGGCTTCAAAAGTACTGTGATCCATGAATGTTTATTATGGAAGTGCCCATCTCTTGGTCTGCTACTTTAACTCTCCACCTTTCATACCCATAAGATTTTTGTGTGGTTTGTCCATTCTGTGCCCTGAAGCAAAGATAGTTGCTGGAGAAACTAGTCCTAAAGGACTAGTTTTGTTCATGACTTAGGAAGGAGTGGGATTTGTGACTTGGAACTCTAGTCTCTTTCAGCCCCCTCAGCTCTCCTATATACGTTTCACTCCTCTGCCTTGAGTCTGCAGTCTGCCACTTACCCCTATCCTCTGTCTGCCTCAGCCTTATGTACAAAGAGTACGTCTGGGCTCTTCCTCTCAAAGATCACTCAGAGAGGAGCCTTTCTTCATAAAACCTTTGGGATTTAGATTTCCCCAGGAAGTTAGAGGATGGTTATTCATTCTTGGGTCTCATCTTTTCTACTCGACCCAAAACTTCCTCCTTACAAAAATGCCGTTAAGACCCTCCTGAAGTGCTTCATCTGCTAACTGCCAATTCTCTAACACTGAAACGTGGCAGATAACTGGACATATTTGAGGGACATCTTCATGTAAGACATATGTGGAGTCAGGACATAGCCACCTTCATATATTGCTCTGTGCCAACAGAAGTAAAACCGATTTCTTTTTCCAAATGGAGGAGACAAAAAAGGAGAGGGTAAAGGGAAGAAAAGGAGAGGGAAGGGAGGAGAAGGGAAAGCGGAAAGGAAGAAAAGGAGGGGAAAGCGGGGAGGGGGAAGGATCAGAACTGTGTCTATCAAAAATTGCATAGTTTTAAAACTTGGAAAGGAAAAAACAAAACTGCAAACCCAAGTTACTTCACTGGCAAATTCTACCAAACATTTAATATCAATTATACGTAAACTTCTCCAGAAAAAAAGAACAAACTTTTTTAGTTTATTTTATGAGTCCAGCATTAATCTTATGTGACACATACACAGAGGTATTAAAATAAAACTATAGATCAGTATCTTATGTGAATATAGATGCAAAAAATTCTCAACAATATATCACCAAATCAAACCTAGAAATAGATTAAAAGGATAATACAGCATGACCAAGTGGAATTTCTTTCCAAGAACGCAACGCTGGTTCGATGTTCAAAAATCAACCAATGTAATTCATTATGTCAACAGACTAAAGAAAAACATCATGTAATCATCTTATTACATGCCACAAAACATCTGACAACATGTAACATCTGTTCATGATAACAGTTCTCAGCAAACTAGAAGCGGACCTCTCTCAAGGTGATAAAGGGCATCTACAAAAAAACTATAGCTAACAATATTCTTTTTCTCTTTGTGTGTGAGTGTGTTTTCATTGTT